AAAAAAAAAAAAAAAAGAAAATGTTTCTTTTCTTAATTTTTGTCAGAACTTAGCAAAACTATGCATGGACAATAGATACTTAATATTGACATACTTACAGGCCACTGAACCCATGTAGTATATCCTGAAAGTAAAGTTGTGCTCCTTTTTCAAAGTTGAAGAACTAGGTACTTATTGAAGCTCTGTTATGCTATTTTATAACTGGTAGATTTTAACACAAATCTAAGAAATTGAAGACAGATTATCATTATGAATTTAAGGATCTTTTTAAATAACCAGGATTCATATGGTTTGTCTAGATACAGATTCAGAGTCACAACTGCCAGGGGTTATTTCTTCTAAATATTCTTATCCACACTACATTTGAAATTTAGGCAACCAACACTTTATCATCTTTTACATGTTCTTCAAAATACAGCAGAAAATAGAAAAAGTACCTTGGATTTTGCTTCGTAGGTATTTTAGGACTTCTTGAGTTCCTTTCTGAAAGTGCGGATGGAGACAAAGACACACGGTCACCAGGACGCACATCACAGTTTCACAGATCAGCATCCACATTTGAATTTCAATTTTAAAAGAAACAGCAGAAATCTCAACATCCTTACATTTATAATTTCTCTTCGAATAGTTCTCAAAGGATTTCCTTCCAGTGCCAGAAATTTCAAATGAAGGTTTCCCAATGAACAGGGCAGACTGTAAAAGATTAAATTGATTTCAATGAAAACATTAAATATAAGAATAACCTAATCACATAGTTGACTAAAAATAACAACATATGACAAACAATATATCACATAATAGTCTCAAAGAAGCCCCAAGTAATAGGCCTAACACTATTTTCCCTGAAATGCTAAACACATAAAAGCCACAGTATTTCTGAAGTTGTCATACGGAAATTGAAAAAACAGAAAGTGATCAAAAATACATTTGCTAAAAAAACAAACAAAAAAACATTTGCTAAATTCTATCCAGTGCTAAAAATTAAATATTAAAAATGTAAATATTAATAAATCAGTAACTCAATCATTCTTGTTGATAATTTTGATTTTGCACTTCAAGCAAGCAAATATAATTCTTTGTATGAAAAAATGACAAAAAGAAAAAATAATTTTCCATCATCCCAACGTTTTGATTCAATGAGGAGATAAAATGTTAAGTTTACTAAGCTTCTATAACAAATAGTAGGTGATGGTGTACAGATAGCAGACTGTTTAAGCTTTTTAACTGAACAAATGAAAATGACATCTCTACAATTAACCAAAATGTATTAAGTGATAATAAATACCTTACATTGCTGATGATAATACAATACAGTATAGCCACTTTGGATAGTGTAATCTTATATTAAAACGCACCTACCCTTCAACCAAGCAATCCCACAACTACATATTTAACCAAAAGAAATACAAGATGAGGTCCACACTGAGACTTGCACAGAAATGTTCAAAAAACTGAAGACAACTCAAATGTCCATCAGCTAAGTAGCAAAGAGATGAATAAATTGTTGCGTATCTCATAATAGAATCAGGGAGTATTCTGAGGGGAATTAGAGCAATTGCAATGTCTTTTAATGTAATACAATTTCTTCCTTTGTTTTGTTTTGGTAATACAATTTCTTAACTTACACATTTGCTATGTATTTCGATCACAACTCAGATTTGTCAAGTCACCAGATTGTATGCCTGAACTGAATTTTGGTATAAGTAAAAAATGAGTATCGTACAAAAACATATATGGTAAGGCAAATGATAAACAAGTTATGATGCTGTGAAAGGAGAGCTAGAAACTAGGAGGTGGAAAAGCTAAGAAAGGAAAAGCAAAACCTGGGCTTGCACTTAAAAAGAATGGACTGCTCTTGGGTAAGGCAGGTTAGGGGCTTCCTAGGACAAAGAGAAAAAATGAAGAGTTGGTGTACAGTCCAGTGCAGTAAGGGAACAGGAAACCTGAAACAGTGACAGAAGAGACTGGATGAAGTCTCAGCATGGAACACCTGAAACATCTGGACTTTATAAATGGTAGTTCTCAACTGGGGAAGACTAGATGCACAAAAACCTCCCAGGGATGATTTCAAAAAAGAAAAAGTTCTACGATCTGACTGTAAAAGATTCTAATGTGTCAGTGCCTCATAACCTGTATTTTCCCCCTTACAACTTCTTAAATGATTACAGTACATAGCCATATTTGAGAAACATTGCTACAGCTATGGAAAACCATCAAACCTTCTAAGCAGAATGATCTATTTTTTTAATAGAAACTATTCTATTAGCAGTGTGAAGGAACCAGTACTTTCCTCAGAAGAAAATCTGGAGATACAAAATGAATTATCATTAATATCTCAGAATTATTTGCAGAAAGGGAAAAACAACTGTAATATTTACTAAATACCATTATATCCTAGTCCCTTTCTCTCCAAAGCTCTGGAGAAAAGTGTGTCTTTGGTACCTGCAACAATTATATTTTTTTTCTTCAATACCTGCTTTATATTGTTTCATGCAGCAGATTTGATGAAACAGCTATGAAGAGAAATTTATGTCAGTCCTTACAGGGACACATGCTGATTCTGTCCTATATGAATGAAAAGCTAATCACTATCCACAGAAATCTGCTCTTCTGTGGTCCAACAGGAGTGGTGGTGCACACCTGTATTAACCCCAGCACTTGGGAGGGCTGAGTCAGGAGGATCTCCAAGAGTTCAAGGCCAGCTTGAGCTACACAGCAAGACCTCATCCCAAAACAAAAATAACATAAACACTGTCAAACTGTAGCATGCCATATATGCACAGAGGAAGAAAAAAAAATCTTACTTTAAAAAATATTTATTAAAATATACACAAATGGGCCAGGGATTTAGCTCAGTGGTTCTGCCACCTGCTTCGCAAGTGCAAGGTCCCAAGTTCAATCCCCAGTAGTACAAAAAATAAATAAAAATAAAATATACACATAAAAGAAAATTTAACTTGCCTAATTTTTCTTCTGTAAACAGCACTCTATCTTTCTAGCATCTAAGTGCAAAACCTTAGACATCTAATATTGGTGCATGATTCTAGGTAAAACTGAGTCTCATTTTTTGTTTGTAAAAAATAATTTCCTCTCTTTAAGTAGGACAGTTCTGTAACTTCCCATGGATCTTTGCTTACCACTCTGTCCCTCTCCAACTCCAGTCAGCTCATAAATACAGCTTGGCTAATTCGTCAGCTCCTCACATCTGCCCTCCTCTTTCGTTCCCTTGCCATTGGTATCACAGTTCAGGTCCTCAGTGCAGCAGAGAGAAATCTGTGCAACAGTCAGCACGGTGAACTGCACACGGCGTGTGCTCCTTGGTGACAAGTGTAGGAGATTGAACTCATTGAACCTGATTTAGATTTCCTACCCACAAAACTACACCTAGTCAATGTATCCAACCAACCACCATCAATTTATTGTTCTGAGTATTATAATCAAATTGGTTTCAGTCTCTTGTAAGTAATGCAAATGATTGTTTTAGGGCCTCTTCTCTACGGGCTCAATTTAGTTTTCAAGCCCTAAATACCCACATCCTCCCTCCTTACCCAAAAGCTTTCTCTGGACTGTTTCCTCCTGTACAGTGGCTCCTACTGGAGGAGGATCCCAGCCATTCTTTAAAGATCACATGGTGGGCTGCGGGGATGCCCGGCCCTGACAGGGAATGCTCTAGGTAATGAACTGCTTCACCCTAACAATGCCAGTCCTTAAGATCGTCCTGTGACACTACTTCCATGAATATGCCCCAGTTCCTCTCAGCAAACTGTAAATCCTTTACTTTCCTCAAAACATTTTATATTTCTCTTATGGCTTTATATTTATTTAACAAATTCAGCAAATATTCATCAAGCACGTTCTACCTAATAAAGGCACCATCTAGGAGTTAAAGATAAAGCAATCAATTAAAAAAGACAAGGGCCAGGGATTTAGTTCAGTGGTGTTGCCACCTGCCTCGCAAGTGCAAGGTCCCAAGTTTGATCCCCAGTACCAAAACAAACAAACAAACAAACAATTTTTAAAAAGACAAAAATTCTGCCTTCTTACAGTTCAGTTCTAGTGAGTTAGTTACTTGTAAATACATACACTTTTATTAGCACATCAAGCTGACTACCAAGCACAAAAACCCATGAATATTTCTTTGCCTATAATACCTGGCTAATAAATATTTAGTGAATTCCATGTAAAAAACAGAATTCATGATTTTTGTAAATATTTTAACAAACTATATCCAAATTACAAGCATAATTTCCATTCCTTTGATGTTTAAACTTACCTACTAATATCATTGTTGCTTAGGTCAAGTCTTTCCAAAGACTGTAGGAGTGAAATCTCATCTGGAACAGATTTTAACTTGTTACCCCTCAGGTCTAGCACAAGGATAGAACTCAGATGCTTAAGATGTTCTGCCCCTAACACTTCAATCTGGTTTTCACCCACATGCAATTCCTACAAAACCAAAGATCAGTTATGTGTATTTCCTTCAATTTTACACTAGATAATGAAAATAAAATTGCAGGCATTCCTAATTCTAAACCATTGAAACACACATGAGAAAAACGCAACTTTCTCATTATTAACATGCTTATATTTTCAATTACATGTAAGCCATCTTACAGCTAAAGAAAAATGGCGAAAAAGAATACTTTCAAAAATTTTCTCACAATTTAAAAATAACTAAGGTTGAGTCTGGCAGGAGAATCAAGTGTACAAAACCAAAACAGGAAAAGAATTTAGTCTTTATATTTATAGGATTGAGACCATCACTTTAAAAACTACTGATGAAAAGTTAGTCTTAAAACAATCATATAAGTTCAAAGAAGTTATATTATAGTCAACTTGTTATTTAATATTATCATTAATGGTTATTATATATACTCATTTCTCATTAGCAAAATCTGTAGTTAGATGAAAAATTAATCATACTAAATGAAAGTTTTTCCAGTTTTTAAATCACTATCGGCATTCTATTTAGAAAACAATGAAGTCATACATAAAAATATATACAGAGAAAACAAAAGCATGCAACATGTAAAAAAAAATTAATGCTATATAGCTAAAACCAAAAGAAAGTAATTTTAAACAGATCTGATTATGATGAGTTAAATAAGTGGTAACGAGAATTAGGTATATACAAATTACCAAATGAAAGGATAAATCTCTACTTTTTTAAGATAGTATCTTCTCTAAAATTGTTTACTAACAGTGTCATTGTCAGTAAGCACATAGACATAATGAAAAAACATACTACTTAAAAGTAATACATAAGCCCAATGTAAAACAAGATTAACAAGATATTTTTATAAATTAATTTTCATAAATAACTTCTGGAAAACACACAGTTAATGAACTATCAACTAAATAGTACCTTCAATAGTCTACAAGAAAGAAATTCTGGTAGAAAACGTAATTTATTCCTTCGCAAATAAAGCAATTCTAGAGATTCCATGCCAGCCAGTTCAGGAGGTACAGTTTCCAGGAGATTTGAATTGCAATCCAAATGCTTCAACTCTGTAATATATATTCAGGGAAAAAAATCAAAACTACCTTTTAAAATAATTATGCAGGCCATCTTTTAGTTAAAAAGTTACTTAGAATTCAGTTAAAGTTCTCTAAAATATATAAATATATGCTATTATTTCACTCAATCATTATCTTTAAAAATAAGCTTACAGTTATTAATGACATTATAAATATGCACTCATATTCACTCAACGATGTCCAGTGAGTCTACAGTCATAGTCAGTGAGTTGGACATATCTTTATTTTTTTGGAAGGTGACTTCTTGCCAAAAGTCATGGATTTTTCTGTATTCATTTCTTGCCTTCCACCCATCCACACTCCCCCACCTCCTTTAATTCTTTTGTCTTCCTTGTTTTAATTACATGCTTTTCCTAAGCTAACACTCCTAATAAAAGTACATATTACAGCTCAAGAAACTGTCCTTAATTACAGGATCTCTGTCTCCTGTATCTCTCTTGAAGGCAGAACAGAAAAACAAAACTGGAGAGAAGCAAAGGTCTTCTTTCCCAGGATTTTAATAAGCAGTTTTCTCCCTAACGCACACTGCAGATCCATTTATCAAGGCCTCTAAATTCTCCAACATTCGCTCTCAATCCTCCCGCTGAGGTGCACATGTAGTATGTGTTCTGCAATTTACTTTCCTGTACTTTGAACCTGTCAATTTTAACATAATCCAAGAGTGCACTAACAGATTGCTTTTCTTTTGAGTATATGAAGCTAACTGCTTTGCAAAACAAATGCAGAACTATTTTCAACTACTAGTAGTCATTTTTGTATTATTTGACTGGAAAAGCAAACAAGAAGTCACTATCAGATCTATTTGAACCAAGGAAATTCTATAGATAAAACTTTGTCTTGATGCTAGAGACCCTAGTTTTCACAAATACTTGTATCCAGGAGCACTGGAAACAAGTGCTGTGTGGTGCAGAAGAGCAGCGACGACAAAGTGGAAAGATGCAAGTCCTGGCTCTACAGGTCCAAAATAATTTAGAAGCCTGTAATTTGGAATCTGTAAAATGTTTAAAAATAAATAAAAATGTTTAAAAAAAATACTCATCCCATCTACCCTACAACATAGCACTGTAGTGACTGCAATGATAAAATGATATTCAGAAAAGCATTCTGGGCTTACAGTGTCAAACAAATTATAAGATATTGTTCTTAGAATCTGAGCATTAATAGGGAAATAACAATTAAGTTTACCTATGGTAGATTACAAATACCACTGCCATGCCTGAGGAACAGAAAGCTTTTGATCATCAGTTAAACAGGACATTACGACAGTTTCTATAAACTTAGTATTTACCTACTGATCTTTCTTTTTTGCTTTGTTTTGTGTATTTGTGTGCACTTGTGTGTGCACGGCTAGGAATTGAACCCAGGGCCCTTACTTATGCTAGACAGGTGCTATGCCACGGAGCTACAACCCAGCCATTTTTTTTTTTTTTTTTTTTTTTTTTTTTTTTTTTTTTTTTTTTTTTGAGATAAGATCTTGCTGTTTTGCCCCAGCTGATCTCTAGCTTGTGATTCTCCTGAATGGGTCTCTCAAGCAGCTGGGATTACAGGCATGCACCACCACACCTGGCTGCATTTGATTTTTTCAATAATGTTCCCATCTCTAATGATATTTTCAACAAATAATAAAAACATGTTCCATATATCTTTATGCAAGATAGCATATTTTATGTTTATCTTTATTGTAAATGACAATGATTTTAAATAGTGGATCTTTACAACTTATCTCAAAATTATCTGCAATCAAGTGTACAAAATTTCTATGACTTGATTCACAAAAGCAATGTTTACAAAACTGAAGAGGATGTATGTGTGATTACCAAAAAAAAAAAAAAGACTTGAGGGCAGGGGATGTAGCTCAGTGGCACACCTGCCTCAAAAGTGCAAGGTCCTGAGTTCAATCCCTGGTACCAAAAGAAAAAAAAAAAAAGACTTGAGTGGTAAGTAGTCTACAGCTGATATACAGGTAGCCATCAACCAAGAAATACTCAGCATTTCTGCTTTAAAAAAACAAAAACATGGCCAGGTATTTAGCTCAGAAAGTTCTGGTGCCTGCCTTGCAAGCACAAGGACCCAAGTTCAACACCCGGTACCAAAACAAAAAAACACAAAAATGTATTTTGGATTCTTAATTAAGAATTTTAACATGATGAAGGATATTTATTTAAAGGGTACCTTGATTTTTAGATCCCTTACTATTAGTTCTCAGAACGAGAAAAAAAAAGAAAATAAGAACAAACCCCCAAATATTAATTCTCCAATACATAAATACGATAGGACAATGGTAAACTTTAATAGAAACACAAAATTTTGAGCTTTCATATTAAAACAAAAGGACTAAAAACCTGGGCCCTCAGGCAAAAAAAGATCCTCTGACACTCCTACAAGTGAAGTGCAGGGTCTACAGCTGTAATTACTATAACCATACATCCCAGGTGTGTCCACCTACAAGACAGTCATTCTCTCTCAAAGAATGAGATATAGCATATCCGAAAGCTTACCAATTTCTCAAATATAGAATTTTTACAATTCCTGTCAGATTTTCTTCTTTTTAATATGACTCTTTTTAATAGTTGGCGGTAACTACTTAAGCAACCAGACAATAATAATAATGGTCTGTGCAGTTAGGTTCCTGCATCCTGCTCAGTCGGAGAAAATCTGACTACTCTTCCATAAAAAATCTATTTTTTGTCTGTAATTATAATGAAAATTATTTTTATAAAGGCAGTGCAAATCAACTTAAAGGCGTGTAATTTTAAAAATACAGACAATTTACTTTTCATTCTACTTATTTCTGCTGGCAAACTCTTCAGTTGGTTGCTGGAAAGATTGAGTTGCATCAGACGGGGTAGAGAAGAAAAGCTACCAGGAACAGTTGTAAGACGATTGTCCGAAAGGTCCTTTGAAAAAGACACAGAGAATGTATGAATAAATGAGAAAACAAGGATGTAAATATCCTTAAAGGGGAATTCAGAATTTTGAGAGAATGCAACATAAAAAAAGACTACTTTGGGGTGATAAGACTTTCTGACCTTCATCACTGAAAATTTCACAAAATTCATTATGATATTCTTTCAAAATCTGCAATTCTTCTATGTGTCTGTCCATCAATGTAGCAGACAGGATAGAATGAGCTCTTACCTCAAAAATACTAAAAATGAGATTCCATAATAATCCACTCTAATCCAATTAATATTAATTTGATGTTAATTAACAGTACATAAATTTTCCAGTAAATCTGTTATATTGTGCATGTTTGCAATGCATACATCTGCTCATTTGTCTAATACTTGCTGAGTACCAATGATAAATTAGACACATTATTAGTAAACCATCGCATGAGATAAAAAACACCTTTTCAACAAAGAAAAACTGTTGAAAGAAAGAAAAATAAAGCTCAAAAGGTGGTCAATTCAAATTTTGAGGAAAACAATACCTCTCTTGGTTCTTGGACCTCAGCAAATCTGCTCTGACCAGAGCCCAATCTTCTCCCCACTTTCTGTTTGGGTTTGTTTCATTAATATTTACACCCCATGATTCTTAAGTCTTCATGTTTTTCTTTTTCCTTAAATCAATATTATAAATCAGGTAATTCTTGCAACACTGAGCTAAAGTGTTCCGCTAGCTATCAGTGAAGTGTCAGGCAGGAACAATGGCAACAATAAGTGAGAAAAAATGACAATGAGCAATTCTTTTCTGAAAATTTTCACTTAGTCTAACAAACAACTGCACTCTCTTACTCTCAGTAAACTGAGAAGACGAAAAAGATAAAAATGCCAGATCAGTTCATTTAAAAAAGAATCATAGGCTGGGCATGGTGAGGCACACCTGTAATCCCAGCACTTGGGAGGCTGAGGCAGGAGGATTGCTGTGAGCCCAGCCTGGGCTACATAGTGAGTTCCAGGTCAGTCTTAACTATATAGTGAGACCCTGTCTCAAAAACAAAAAAAAAAAAATCACAGTATTGCAATCTTAACATTATCATAATCTACAACATATAATCTACAACCCCAATACTACATAAGAATCAAGAGATTGCTATGAAGATTTTATAATATCAAAAGTTTTGGGGCTGGAAATTTAGCTCAGCGGTTCTGCCGCCTGCCTCACAAGGACCCAAGTGCAATCCCCGGTTCCAAAAAAAAAAAAAAGTTTTGGACAGTAATAGGATAGTATCCTGGGACAAAAGAGACACTAGCATGAAAAACGGGAAACCCGAAGGAAACCTATAGTTCATATTGTACCAATGTGAGTTTGAGTTTTTTACCAGCATCCTATAATATATAACTGCTAACGTGAGAAGCAGCTAGATGAAAACTACATGAGAACTCTACTATATTTATACTTGTTCTTTAAACTCAAAATTATTCCAAACTGAAAAGCTTAAAATATTTCAAAATTAATTCAGAAACTCTCAAAACATTTTAAAGAATTCAAATAATTCTGACATAATCCCTTCTAAATTCTAAATAGTGATAGCTGGGGATTTAGCTCAGTAGCACCGCACCTGTCTTTGCAAGCACAAGGTCTTGAGTTCAATCCCTGGTACCACAAAAAACAAATAGATAAATTCTAAACAGTTACTATTATTTAATTACTGCATATCTGAACATATCATTGATCATAAGTAACATATTTATTTAACACTTCTTAAATTATGAAGCATCCTTTCATTATACCCATGACTGGAAATGTAAAGGCATCATTTATTGTAATATTTTTTTTTAGCTTTAGCTTTTGACTCTAAATGTGTTTTTAAAAACTATCTTTTAATTTTCTAAAATTAAAAAAAATTAAGAAAAATCTGACAACTTCCCCCCCCGCCATTCGTTTTATCTACTTTTTGCTTTCCACACCTTATTTCTAATCTTACCAGACTGAAAAATAAACACTGAAGGAATAGTTGGGATGGTACAGTATATATTTTTATTTTAAACATTATAGTAGATGAGGGGACTGCTAAGGAAGGTGTACATACAGAATAAGAAGTAAAAGGAGCAATTTTTCCTTTAATTAAAAAATAAAATTTGGGCCGGGGATTTAACTTAGTGGTGCTGCCACCTTCCTTGCAAGCACAAAGACCCAAGTTTGATCCCCAGTACCACGACAAATAAATAAATAAATAAATAATAAAAAATAAAATTTAAGGCCAAAATGGCATGTATTTTCCAAAACACGTAAAAGGGAAAACAAGAATACAACAGGCAGTATATGGAGTACACATTCCATATTAGAACCTCTCACTTAACATGTCTAAAGTCTTTAAGAAGGAATACTGCAGTGCAATCTTACTATTTTAGTACCTAAAGTGGAGAAACAGGGATGTAGTTTGAAGTCACGCTGGCTTATGTTCAAATCCTCACTGCAGCTGGGCATGGTGGCACAAGCCTGAAATCCCAGCACTTTGGGGCAAGAGGATCACTGTGAGTTGGAGGCCAGCCTGGACTTTACAGTGAGTTCAAGGCCAGCCTGAACTACACAATGAGCAAAGACTCTCTCAAAAAAAACCAAACCAAAACAAAAATCCTCACTGCACTGTTTACTGGTTGTATGACTTTTGGCAAATTTCCTCTTTCTTTTTAAGCTTTAGTTTCTCATTGTAATAACAACTACCCACCATGCCATATGTAAAGCATAAAGCACAGTGCCTACTGTTTTAGTCTTGGTAACAAGATTAAAATAATATTTGGATTGCTTTTTGGCTATGTACGTTTATATAGGTATATGTGGCCATTCTGAAAAACAGAACCAAAGGGAGGTCTTGAAGGGACCATGCAAACACTCAGAGGGCAGAAGGCTGCAGATAATATAAAAAAGGAAAATGGAAATGGGACTAAAAAACTACAGAACTGGTATATGCTAAAGACTTCACTCTTTTCTGCTAAGCTAATAAAAGCCTATGGATAACAGTCATCTGCATTGTCTCTCCCAAACTGTATTCCTGAATTATGACTTCAAGTTGATTTAGTAACATACAAAAATGATAAATGTTACTAATTTAGCAGTATCATTGTAATGAACAATTTCTGGTAATCCACTTTAGCCCATGTCCCAAAATGTCAATCATCTATCCAATTTCTCAGCATGATGAAAAACCCGCCAGCCCCAGGTAATATAGAAATGAGAAAATGACTACTTACTAAATCTTCTAAACTGAAAAGCTTCTCAAATCCCTCTGGCAAGCATGTTAGTTCATTATGCTGCAGATACAGGCCCTTCAGGTTTCTGAGATTTGTAACTTCTCCAGGAAGTGTTTTCAGTTTATTATGGCTATTAATAAAATAAATGCAGACTAATTTGGTAAACAATACAATATTTATGTTTTTGCTACCTACTTACATGGATTCATTACATAAGTGAAATGTGATTACTAATTTAAGTGCTTACCAAAATTCACATCCCTAATATATATGCTCATTAAAATAACAAAATTAGTAACCTAAAATAATCAAATTACAGTTTCAACAACAAAAAGTTTTAACTAAATATAAACAATCTGAGTTTTGACTGCTTGATTATAACAAACTGATTTTCCATGTAACACGAAAGGACCTACTGGACTCTTTGATTTTTTACACTTTATCTGACTCATAGAATTTTGACAAAACTGTATTTACGCACACATTACAATGATACAGAAGTCAGGTTTTAAATGTAGCATTCAAGACAAAAATAGCTGTTTCTGTTTGAGGGCTGGCATGTCATGCTGAATGTAATACTCATTTCCACACTGTATTTGTGGTTGACTTTTCAGTTGAGCCCATCTGTAGGAGTAGAAATACTCACCTCACGGACTTAGGGTAGGTCCCAAATCCCTGAGGATAACGCACTCCATAATTAAAAAAACTTGGAACAACTTTCCAAGTTTATTACAACTTAATCACTTATAAATCCCACTCTATTTTCAATCCACAAACAGCTACTTTTACCCCCCTAACAGGAAAAACAGAAATACGAAGGGCTTTATAATATCTCTAAATTACAATAAAACTAGCTGGAACAAAAACGCCAAAAGATGTTCACTAAAAAAGAACAAAGTGGTTAAAAGCCGGTCACTATCCTAAGTTACTTAGATGCAGTGTGGTTACATTAGGTAGGAATCTACTCATGCAGACATAGAATTCTAGGTACACATTTCCTCCATCTGTCATGTGCAACAGAGCACGTCTGTAGTTCCAGTTACTTGGGAAGCTGAGGCAGGAGATGGCGTTGGCCAGGAATTCAGGGTCAGGAATTCAGTGCAACATAGCCAAGAGCACATCTCTTCAATACACCTGAAACTTAAAGTCCTCACTCTTTGAACTACTTTTGGAGATAATACAAAGATCTCTGAGGGGGCAGGAGCTGGAGGTGAATCCAGGATTTCACAGGTGTTAAGCTGTGCTGTACCACTGAGCAATACCTGGGCTTGGTATCCCCCAATGCTACAGAACATCTAACTACTAGACTTATACTATTATAATTCCAATATTCAATATTAGAAGTTTAAATTTTACCTGACGTTAAGCTTTTGAAGATTTTCTAGCTCTTCTATAGAAGAAGGAAGGGATGTGAGCTGATTATCATGTATCTGAAATTATTAAAAGACAAAGTCAATATTGTTAGTCATATAATTAACAATATATAACCTTTGCCATTGTTCACTAATAATTACTCAAATTATTCACTAATAATCCCCTGCTCTTCTAATTCAATAGCAGTGAATTTGGCTACTGGTAATTTGACCACATATAGAAAAGGATTTTAAAACTGACCAAAATAACCCTCAGAAGTCATGAAATAATAAGTTATCAATTTTAAATATTATCAAAAAGAAAATATTCACATACACTTCACCTCATAGGGGGGAGTCTTCATTTCAAATAGGAGAGGGTTAGAAACTAACAGCCCCAGACAGTACTATTTATGAGAAACGCATGACATTGCAAAAATTCTATGAGAAAGGAGAATGGAATTTCTCTCCTGTGCCCACTGAAACAGTTTTTAAAACAGAAAAGAATCACAGAGCAAGCCAGTCGACTCATCTTATAAATAAAGACAATAAAAACTCCTCTAGAAATTACACTTCTTATATCCAACTTTTATATACTTGTGAATTTGTTGCTAAGTAAAAACACCCGAAGTCTCAAGATTCTGAAGTAAATGCTTCATTTCACCACAGCATGGGAACTAGGGCTTAAGAACAGACTTCCTTAATAAAAACAAAAATTGAAGTTTGGTGGTTTAGTAAGTCAATGTAATTGCTAGCAACTTACAAAAAGTAAAATAAAAACCATCTTAAGCGTTGTAGTTGCTGCAAATGTCTAGAATAGTGATGATTAAAAATAACAGTAAGAAAAAAAAAACAGTAGAAGCACAGATTTGTGAAATACTGATTGTTTGTAGATAGTAACTCAATCCTAAGAATAACTTCACAAAATCGGTAGTATTATCACTCCTCACGGAGAGGTATGGAGCGACAGCTTTCTCCAGTGACCCAGCTCCCAGGTGGGAGTCAGCATCAGAACCTGCTGTGCCTGACACAATAATTTATCACCCGTGCACTCTCCCAATTCAACGTGAAAGGTTTCCCGCTATCAATGACAAAGTTCAGCTCTGGGGTTTCTTCCACTTCCGTCCCGTAATTAGAGCCAACTCACATCCAGGACAGTCAGCGCAGGCAGGAAGCGCAGGTCCTCCGAGAGTGTCTGGAGTTTATTGTTGGAGAGGATGAGTTTGGTCAGATCCGTCTGCTCCCACCACCGATCGGCAGCGCTGAACGACAGATTCTGATTTGCCTCCTGGGGGACATCCACGTTGATTCTCCACACACAATGAGGCACTATTTCCACACCCACCGCCATACATACATACACACACACACACACACACACACACACACACACACACACAGAGAAAGAGATGAAAACAAGAAGTAGATCATAAGTGACCTGCTTTTTATAATAGCTACCCAGTTCACCTTCTGAAAAGCAATTTCTGAAACAAACAATAAAAACTCCAGGAAGTCAAACAGCAATACACTGCCTCTAGAGTGACGGTTGATTTTATTCAAAAACAGACTAATACATATTTTATTGATTAGTTCTCACTTGGAACTTCATTCAACTACATACTAGACACGTTACATAACACCTTTTGGTGGATACATTCAATAGATAAGGAGTGGGTTCTACCCCAGTATGCAAACAAAATAACAGAGAAGACTTAGACAACTTCCATAGGTAAGGTTGTTACACAGGTATATGCTAAGGCTCAGAGCTGGTAGTAACAATAATAGTTAATTCTTACTAATATTAGACAACCAGCTAATATTTTAACTCTTTGAAACTGCATAACAGGGCTCAATAGATAAAACATTTTCTGCAAAAGATTCTGCAACGATAGTGCCTATTTTAGCACTAATCAATAGGCAAGCCATTAGTCACAGGTGGCTAGTCAGCATATAAAATGTAGCTAAAGTAACTGAAGGATTCTATTTTTAATTTTAATTGATTAATTAAAAATTTAAATTTCCCACATTTCCTTCCACAATGGAGAGCATAGCCCTTAACAAACACTAGAAAAAAAGATTTCTTTGCATTTTGGGTTGTACTATTCCTTGCTGCTGACAACAGCAAATCTTATGGAAATGAGGACTAATAAGTGGGTTGGTGGCAGAGGACTGTATACATTGTGGAAGACATTTAGAAGTTGCTGAGTGAAGAGAGGGAAAAATTTTCTAAGTTTAAAGTGTTCACAATGAAAGGTTAAAAAAAAGTGGAGCCAATAAACTATAGGAGCAACAAACCATAAGTTAATCTTTTTCCATGTTTTCAACAACCTAAAGATGATTGTCCATAATGTATGATGATAAGTGTTTCGTTAAGGCAGTAAAACATAACTGAATGTACACATATATTAAACAAATGTTGGCATTAGTAATAACTTGAATTATACATCTTAAGAGGTTAAGACATTCAAATTTAGAACAACCATGTAACAGAATCAAGAAACAGGAATGGAATTCTCAATTAACTGTTTTACAACCCAAATTTCTTTGGATTTTACTAAAAAAGAAGTGTTTACAATATTTTACACCAACATTCTAGGTATGGTGGCACATGCCTGTAATACCAGCACTCAGGAGGCTGAGGCAGGGGGATGGAAGCAAGTTGGAGGACTACATGGACTACACAGTGAGTACTGATATCTTATTCTCCTAAATGCACATGTACAATATAGTAGGAAGCTCCCAACAAAACAGGAACAGAGGCGACAAGAATGCCACATAGGAAAGGAAAGTTATGAATATGTCAGCAAGGTGTGTGAGTCGAACATGCAGTTGTCATGTGTGAAGACTACCTTGGCTGTGACAGTTGATGCAAAGATTGTTTCTGTGGTAGACTTCTGTGTTTACATTGTAATTCACATAAGTTTTTATTTCTGGTGTTATCTTTTAGGTTTTGTAAGCAACTACACAGATGATGTGAAAATGTAGATATTTACTTGAAATGCATATTAAGTACATATTAAGAATTTTACACTTTATTGATATTTTATTTTCTGTTAACTACACATTGCATAATGTAATAGGAACCTCCTCAGAAAACAGCAAGACTAGCAAGGTGTCAAATATGGCCTACAAAAAGGCCAGGAAAGTAAAACACACATGCTGTCAGTGTAAACAATACGTGTGTGGGGAACATGCTGCTTGTCAGCAATTGTTAGAAGGAAAATGGAGGGCTATAATTACATGAAGTATGAAGACCTGAATATAAAGCATTACAGGAAAAAAAGCTTTATTTCTCCATCACACCCCCACCCCTCAACACCAATCCCCAACCCCCTGCCCACATGTGAACTGCATCTGACCATTCATTTGCAATATCCACATCTGTGCTTTCTGGCCTACATTAAGTTTGTCAGAGGGCTGGGGATTTAGCTCAGTGGTTCTGCCACCTGCCTCGAAAGCACAAGGACCTGAGTTTGATCCCCAGTACCAAAAAAAAAAAAAAAAAGACTCTCAGAGTGATCACAAATATATACACATTGAGCGGCATTTATTCCAATCGTCAATATTATGTGAATTTTAATAGCAAATCTAATTTTTGATGTTGGAGATAACTCATGTCTCCTGAAACATTTAATGCCATAGTATTGCAGATAACTAAATTAGGTGGAAACTGATAGGCAGAAAGAGACCTAGGCCCAAGATAGTCAGAACAGGGATGAGGCAAACCAAGCTTGTGGTAGAGGGCTGAATGGTAGAAACTAAGCTGCAAGATGAGGCTCTATGGATAGGACTGAGAGCCTCCCCAGAGATAAACAATTAAAAGCCCTACAGTAATTAGCACCACCTGATCCAATAAACCTAAACAATATGAGAAACAACGTAACACACAGATAGGTGTCCAAAAATACTCTACCCCATCAGAATGCCTTTGTGCTTCTCTATGCTTTGCATCTTTGCTATGAACCTTGTTTTTCCTGTATCAATATTACCTAAGTGACTCTACTCATAATCCTATAGGTAATTATTGTTTGACCCAAGTAACCTGTGATGCGATTTTACTTTATAAAAACTCCCTGGACAAACAACCTCAGCTGCAAGCCACTTTAGGGATCCTCCTTCCTCTTAATAAAACTTATCAACAAAAAAGGTGGGAGAGGAAAATGAGGGTCAAAGAAACAAAATATTTGCCCATGAACGGATAGGTGATTTCGTCTCACAGGTTGCTGCTTATCTCACTCTGCGGGAATCCCAGAACCCGGTCCTTCAACAGAAATTGCGGGAGGAGGCGGAGGGACCCAAGCGAACGGCATCCAGTGGAAACGTGGCAGCCAGGGCCTCCACTACAGCACCGGGACGCCGAACGGGAGCCCGGGACGGGGAGGCTCAGACGAGGCGACTGGACGGGGGAGGAGACTGCGGAGGCCACCTCAGATCCCTCTGATTCTTACCTTCACTGAGGTTCCTACCAGACAAGTTTAACTGGCCGCTCTTCCTCGCCGCCTTTAACAGCCCCTGGGGTACAGCAGTACTATCGTCTGCCCTCGCAGCCCTGAAACCAGCTCGCGCATGCCGCCCGGGAACTCCAGGCTGGCGCGACATGTTCAAACCACCAGCCTCCCACAGGCAACTCCGCCCGTGACGCGCAAAATAAGCGCCGCCGCCTCAAACCTCAGAAGCCCTCTGCAGATTGAGTTTATGTTCTAACGTCAAACTGAACCTATCCCCAAGTATACAAAGTTCTGGAGGCTTGTGTGCATTCAGAGCTGCTGGCACTCTCTTAGGCCTGAGAGGTTTCTCTGGTAAAAGTGCCTCACAACATTGTTTCAATCTATGCCAGGCAGAGACCTACAAACCAAACGGAATACAGTAGTGCTCCACATAAGAGGTGGACTTCACTGGTAAACTCACAGAGTTGCAGCACCTTTCTCTGTGGAGTACTAACAAGGAAGCCCTTTCTGTTGCCAGTGTCGGCCTACTGTCCTGGATAGACTTCGCTGAAGTAAGTGCGTTTAACGGGTTTGAGAGGAGCTTGGCGTTTGGTTGTGGGCTTTGTTACTGCGACTCCAACCTTTTCCAGCGTGCTTCCGCCCGGACGAGGGTGTCGGGAAAACGTAGTCTTCTCCTTTCCCCTTCCCTAGCCTGAACGTGGGCCTCAGCGAAAACTTGAGAGCTGGGCGCGTCTGCGGCCTCTCTGGACCCCAGCCTGGGTCGCGACTGCGGGAGGCCAGAGCGCGGGCGATCGGAGCCCGGCCGGTATCCTGCACCCGCGGCCTGTCCTTTGGCTTAGAGCAGCATCCTTCCTGCTGTTGGGGGCAGCTAGAGAGGGGCGAGGAAGCTTCCGATCTAAAATGGTTCAGGCTACGTTAAAGTTGAGGGACGGCTGATAAGGGGACTGCGTCAGGGAGCGAAGTGAGGTACGGACTTCGCTGTATTGTACTCACCTTGGACTTGTCAGTCCCGGAAGGCGAGTCCGAATCCCACTTGATTACAAACGATGTAATCTCAGGCAGTTCCCCCGATCGCTTTTGAAGCGTCTTTCTCATTTAGGGTAATCTCATCCTGTAACGTTTTTGAAATAAGTGAAAATTAAAGTTTAAATCTTGAGTTCTTGGTGAAAGAAGAGGCCCCAGTTCAGAATAGGAAATGATTTTGTTCAGTAAATCGTTGTCTCCTGAGACGTTCCAGTTTCCATCTGAAACATAACACTTATTGATTAACTCAACGAGTAACTATTAAGAACTCATCCTGCGTAGAACTATCCTCTGTGCTAGGCTTTTTTGCAGCCTGAAGTGATCGTTTCCGGCATAGCTTCCAAAGACCGTCCCGTCTGCTGAGGATCAGTACTGTTAGTTGAGAGGTAGGATGATGATCCTTTGATAAATTCTGCATCGCTTGGAGTTCTTGCTGCAAGTAAAATTCACTTTTTCACACTTTACACGTTCTGAGTTCTATAGAGTCATCTGTAAAAGCGAAGTCTTTTATAAAAGCGTACAGCAAAGTACCAGTAGTTGGCCTACTAAGCAAAGAAAGGGTGGATTTTAAAATCAAAGGACCTTCGCAGTTTTGCAATGTGATTATAAGCCTCCTGATCCGCTTTCTTGACAGGAATGATAATAGCCACCTTATAGAGTCTTGCTAACTGGCAGCCTCTGTTTGCTATTTTTTATTGAACACAATGACCAGTTTTGCAGAAAAAGAAATTGAAGCCATCAGGAGTACAAAACTTGCCCAAGGCCACAAGTTTCTGTAAGTGGCATGGCCAGAAATTTGAAAATAGATCTGTGCAAAACCTTTCTAACTACCATCCCTTGCCTGGTGGCTTTTCATAATTTCCAAGTTGCTTTTATTCTAGAGTCACCTTAAGAGGCATGTAAGTTGTTTTAAGTAGTTAGCACAGATTGAGCAAATGGAGGTGAAAATTGTTACCTCATACAGTGGGGGAAAAATAACTCAACAAACTAATCAACTTGACTTGAAACAATCAACTTGAGTTTCTTTGTGAAAGAGTAGTTGTAATTTTATATATTTATAGTAGTTGGAATTAGCTCTTATAGAGTTAAGAAAATGCCTTAAAAACAAACATAATTCTTTTCAAGAGTATGGCCTTACTTTAAAAATGGAATTTATATGCACTATTAAAATAATATGTCCATTAAAAAAATACATAATCTATCCAGACTGGAGACTGCTGTGCCCCTACCTTTTCTAACAGAATTGTCTACCTCCTGTTAATTATATTCATTGTATTTAAGTAATGTAAGATTTCACTCTTAGCTTCTTTGCTCAATAAAAAAGAAAATGAAGAAGCCAAAAATGTTAAGCCTAAAGACCATATCATTGAAAGAATGCTATTCTCTTTCATAAATAGAAAGTGAGATTATCTGATTAAAACAGACCAATTTGTCTACCATTAAAATTTAAGAAGTCACTTATGAACATTGCAATACATTAGATATTTTTTCCAAAGGTAAAAGGTATATTGATGTATAGATTTATTAAGGCAAGACTGAAATTGTACTAAGGGAAAAATGAACTTTGTACAGATTTTCCAGGCATATTTAGTTAAAATATGGTTGAATTTGCTTTGGCCGCAATTCTGTGAAGTTTCTTTTTGGGTACAATAATAGATTTAGCCTGAATTTAATCAGTATTATGTTTATCTTTCAGAACATTGCCTTATCTGAGAGCTGCTATCTTATGATAAAAGTCATTTATTGAGAGAACATATTAATTCTCTTTAAAAATTTCAACTTGCAATCTTGTGTTTGTTTTCCCTTTAGGCTTATAACTGCTGATTTAAAAAAAAATAGTCAGTGGAAAATATTCACTGTTTCTTTGAAGGCGGTACAAACTGCATTTTTTATTGTTATCCATTTGCAATATGTAATAATTACATTCATCTTGGGGAATTGGTACGTATACATGTAACATGTTGATATATTATTACTTTTCCTTTGTGCATTTTTATGTATAGTTCCCAATATGGCTTTGAATTATATTTTGTTGTTAGAGTAGTTGTATGTGGTAATTTCTTTTGATGGAGGAAGTACATTTTTTTATTATGCATTTGTATATTTGCTTCCCCATACTTTTCAGCATGAAGCAGTTAACTGGCTTTAGCAGGTTTAATATCTAATTTTAGTGTTCAGTCTTATATTCCTTACTACTTTTAATATAAAAGAATTTTCATCTCCATCTGTGGGAAGAGATGTCAGTGTTTTTCTCTTGGAGAAACTAGAAGGGGAAAAGTGTGTTCCAAATGCTTTAGTTTTCTTTCATTGTTGTTTATTTTCTTTCTACTGAAAAGAAACTTGAAGGAAGATGTTGATGAGCCAGTCTTGTTATGTAATCTTAAGTATAAAGCACTATGGTATTGAGATTTGTTTACTGGTGATTTAGAAAAGTCACCTGAAAATGTTTCCTGTTATTCCCAGTGCTTATTGTTCCTGATTGTTAATAGAGTAGCATTCTTTTTTTTTTTTTCTGAGTTTGATATGTTCTGTAATTTAAGCATCAATTTTGATATTAATTGTATGGGAGGGACTTTGAATTAATAAAGTGACAGAGAGGTAAAATTTGGGCATCACAACCTTATAGAACAACCTCTCCATATCGTTCTTTCTTTGTGTCAGCACATGAAAAGTCTCTACAAGATAAGTCAGCTTAAAAACTGGTTTTAATAAATATGTGCTGCTGTGTTTTTATGAGGTTTTATTTTGTTTCTGTGGTACTAGTGATTGAGCCCAGGGTCTCGCATTGTAGGCAGGCGTTCCACCATTGAGCCATGTCCCCAGCCCCCACATTGACTGTTTTAAAATTTGGCTATGTTACTGCCTGCAAACAAGTTTATTTGGTCGAATTCAGCTTCGTATACTTTTCAAAGAAATAGTAAATTCCACCAATATTTATATTAAATATTAATATCATATGTAATGTTAATGTACATGGCACACATACTGTTCTGTGAGAGCAAGGGTTCCCTATAAGATGGTCCTGAGACTTTATCCTTAATGCCAATGTAAGTTGATAAAGGATAAATACAAATAATAGATTCTTCAGAATTGACAATCAATAGTTTTTTGTTTTTTGTGGGTTTTTTGGGTCTTTTTGGTACCAAGGATTGTACTCAGGTCCTTGCGCTTGCAAGGCAGGCGGTAGAACCACTGAGCTAAATCCCTGACCCGACAATCAATAGGTTTTAAAATTTGATATTCAGGTTTCTCAGCATATTTATTACAAATTATAGTTTGATAAATGCTTTCAGGATACCTCAAGGACTGCCCACATTTTTTCTCAACTTGCTTTTTTTCCTGTCTTCTGAAATACCACAGTTATATATCCTTAGATAAAGGAAAGTTGTTTATCACTGGTGTCTTAAAATACTTGGTATTGAAATATGTGACACCACCCTTGCTTAGCATCATCGTAAGAGCACTGAGTCCCCACTGTGCACCATGTTTACAGATTTATTTTCTTAGAAATGTTGGCCTTTTTTGACTCCTTATTCCCTTGACATGTTCTCTTTCCACCATCTCTTCTGTTCCTCAAAATAATTACTTGATGGCCAGCTATGTAGCTCAGTGGTTCCACTGCCTGCCTCACAAGCACAAAGGCCAGAGTTCTATCCCTGGTACCCCCCATCAGAAAAAAAACAAAAACAAAACATCAAAATTAATTACTTGATGAATGTGTCCTAGTTCTTTAGACTTTAGCCTAAGCTATTATGGCTTGAAACTAACTGGACTTTAGTGTGGTAGGAGCTAGATTAAAAAAAAAAAAAAAAAAAAAAAGACATTCCTTTAAAACCTACTTATCATTTGTCAGGAGTTTGAGTTGTTTCGTGTACTTAGGAAATTTTTTAAAAATGTGTTCTTTGGTCATCTGAGAATCTATTGTGACCCACATCATGGTACTTTTAATATTAACCAAGGCTATGTTTGTCTTTTGCGAGGAAGAATAATACTTTTGCTTTTGAAAAATGGAAGCCTTCATGAAAAGAGTTTTCCATTGAAACATTTGCAGTTTATCTAGAAAAGGGATGTTTTCTTTAGCCACAATCTACCTATGTGAACAGTTACTAATGTGTTGCTTTGAGGTCAAAATGATGCTGAAATTTTGAAATCTATTTACACTGGTGTTGTGTACATTGCAGCAGCCTTTTAAGGAAGGCAGCATCTGATAATAGTATGATTTACATCTTTACTGTCACGCAACAGTTCACAAAATATTTCCTGTCAATTTAATTTTGATAGGCGGCTTAATAAGTATTACTATAGAATGATAAGCATTACAGTTGTTTTCATCAATTGAAAAAAAATAGAGTTCCTGAACCAGGGATTTACCTCAGTGGTACTGCGCCTGCCTCACAAGCGCAAGGTCCTGAGTTTGATCCCAGGTACCAAAAGTAAAGAGAAAACATAGAGTTCCTGTTACAGTATGTGACATTTGTTGAGTGCCTCTGTGCTAGGCCCTCTACTCATACCCATAATACTTCTTATCTCAGAAGCTTCCAATGGTATCGCTAACCCTAATTTCCAAGTGAAGGTACAGTCACGGGCATGGCTTATTAGAGGCAGCATCGTTATGGTAGTCAACAACATGCGTAGAGAGTAGAATCACAGGGAGGGGTAGAATGGAGGACTTTGAATGTTGTGCATTCATATGGTTCAAATTTTTAACATTAAGCGTACGTGTGCACGTGCATGTACGCATGCGTGTGTGTGTGTGTGTGTTGTGCTGATTAATCTTGGCAGTGTGACTTACTGAAGTGACTCCTGGCCAAGTGACCAGACTGTGAGGCCGTGGTGAACGCACCTTGAGCAGGTGGGGCCCGTTGGGATAGAATGGGTCATGCAGGGCAGGTGGCTCTCTGCTCTCAACTTCCTTGATGCCATGTTTGGAGCAGCTATCCACTTCCACAGGGATATTTCTGCTTTGGAGCAAGCCAGCCACAGACTGAAACCACGAGCCAAGTAAACCTCTACTCCTTTAAAGTTGTGGGGGTCAGATTTTTGTCCCAGAATGAAAAGCCGGCCAATAACTGTGCATGTATAAATAGACAGATGACAGGTAGGTAGCTGTACTTACATTGTAATGTACATCTACCTGTATCTACATGTGAAGGTCAGGCAAGCACCCTCCCTACCTCTGAGATGTTATCCCCAGATTCTGAGCTATATCCCTAGATGCATAATAATTTTTTTAATACACCATATAAAAATGTGAAATCTCCCTGGGCACAGTGGCACGTATATGTACTTCAGAGGCAGCAGACCACAAGTTTGCCACCAGCCTGGGCAACACAGACCCTGTCTGAAAATACGAAACATTGAGCCAGGCGTGGTGGCACATGCCTGTAATCCCAGCACTGGGGAGGCTGAGGCAGGAGGATTGCTGTGAATTCAAGACCAGCCTGGGCTACATAGTTCCAAGTCAGTTTCAACTACATGGTGAGACCCTGTCTCAAAAAAAGAAAAAAGAAAAGAAAAGAAAAGAAACATTAATGTCTGGGGATGTCACTGAGGCCCTGGGTCCAGTCCACCTCATGCATACATACACCAGAAAAGTAAAGTCTAAATAAGAAGCTGCACTATGCAAATGACCTCTTGTGATTCCTATCTTTCATGTGAGTGTTGCAGTATAATTAATACAGGGCACTGGCCTAAAAGAACAGGCACATAAAATGGAGCTCCAGCTGAGGAAGACCATTCCTTCTTTCTAACCAAGAGATGTAATCAGATAATAAAGACCTAAAGGACCTTGCTTGCGAGGCTGGTGTAGCACCACTGAGCTACATCCTCAGCCCCAACCTTCACGTTTTTGAAGTTTAATTTTTTTCTAGAATTATTACAACAGACAACAGAGTGGAAATACCAAGTGAGATACCTGGTTAGTTGGGTGTTTTTAATCCCTGCCTGCTCCATTACTCATGTAGTTACTTAGTTCTTTTAAACCGTAGTTGATTTGTAGAGAAGGTGTTGTAATCATAGTCTGTATCTGCAAGGCATCTGTGTGAGAATCGCAAGCCCTGTGAGGTGGGCATTATTCCCCAGGATGCAGATAAGAAATTTGATGAGCAAAGTAATGAGCCCGAAGCCACATAGTTGCCTTAATGAGTAGCGAAACTCCTTCAGTTTGACCTGAGGGATTGTGTTACTAATCGGTCTAGCACCTTTTAAGTGCTGTGAGGATGAAAGGCCATTTTGAACGCATTCAGCTAATGTATTCCTACAGTCAGTGTACTTTCATTTTTGTCAGTTTTGTAAGTCTTTAAAAATAAGTTCTTTCATGAAGAAAACATTAATTTTATAGCATCAAAGTGAAAGGTCAAATTATGCAAATGTCTTGTTCCTTGATTAAGGCAAAGTCATGTTAAGATGCTTGAAACTATTTACTTAGAGCTGTATATAACTCCCCAGGATATATTTTTCACTGGATTGTCTTTCAAGATGGTGACTCATTCCCTTAAATGGCCTTTCCTCTGTTAAGACTCAAAAGAATCTCCTGTGCCTTAGAAGATAGTATCAAGCAATCATTGTTCCCAGCCAAATGTTTCCATTAACCCACCCCAATCCATAGTGCCACACTTATCTGTAACTGATAACTTGTGATTTTTCCAAGCTGTAATTATGTACCACAGCTTAGAATACTGTGCATCTGGAAGTTGGAAATAGTATCTTAATGCTCAGAGTATTTTTCCTTTTCTCCTCTGTGATAATCATAAAAACAGAGCTGTGAAATGGGCATGTACTTCTCCTTACCATTTCAGGATGTTGAGGCTCTGCTCTGTCATTTCAAACACATAGCTATAAATCCCTGCTATTTTAGACAGTATGAAAGAAGGATATGGAAATAGACTTCTGTTTATGTCTCTCTGTGTGCCATGTGAGTGTGGGTACGTCGGTCCGTCTGTCTGGTCAGTCTCGCACTACTAACTCATCCAGTAGCTTCTCCCCTTCATTTAGATAGAAGAAAGAAGCATATGATTTATAATTTTGATTTAACAATCCATACTTTTTTAATTATCTTAATGTGTAAGTTACAAATAAAGCAAATTTATCAAATTTATAAATAAAAGAGTAGAGATCTGTAGTTTAGTTTATAGATTTGTAAGCAGCAACTCATTTTTTGTTTTTCTTTCACTAGCCATAGGAGAAAAAATTATAGCCATACACTTAACTTTGAGGCTTTTTTATTTCAGCCAAATTTCCCTTAAACCTAACAAATACTTTGCTGGCCTTTGTTCACTAAGCCTTTGTTGCATGCATGGCCTGTGTATGCTGTAGTGTTACGCTGCCTGTTTTATGGGACTGAGCAGATTCTGAGAGGTGTTTGTAAGCTTTCTAGCAAATGATGATGCTCAGTAAAAACTTGGCGGCTTTGACTCAGTAAAGCGCTTCTCTCTGGTGTGGGTGGTATGGTACGCCTGTTCCCGTAACCCCAACTTCTGGGGAGATGGAGGCAGAAGGGACCCCTGGATCCCAGAAGTTGCTCGGTGCCAGCCAGGGGAACATAGCACAGCCCTGTTGCTTCGGGAAAAGGTGCCTCTGTAAACTGTATGTTACCATCAGGGACACAAAGGTTAGTATATCGCCTTTGCTCTTCTCCGACGCTTATTTGGTGAAGAGGAAAGCTGCTTACCTAGTAATTTAATAAAAGTCCTGTTGCTTGTGCAGATTTGCAAAGTTATGTCTTTCAGGAGGACTCTACTTGTTAGTGTAAGCAGAAATAGCTATCAAAACAGCAGTGAGCTGAGTGGGAAAAGGACCTGCAGTAGGGGTGTGATCGTCCCCCGTGTTCGTGCCCTTTTCCCAACGCTCTTCCATCTAGATACACAAAGACCTCTAGAAGTCTGAGTCTTGAAAGGACAGAAGCTTGTTCATTACAGCATTGGTACAATGAGAAGATAGGATTTTGAGGGTTTGTGGAAAACATTCCTCTGTAATATTTCTGGCATACTTTTCTGCCAGTTCTCAGGAGTCAGTTTAAATTTTCTTATTCATGTGGCAGTGGTGGCTCCTTACCTAACAGCAGCTGGGGCCTGGGGGTCTTGATACTGTAGGGAACGTGTGAATTTTATTCCATGTTTCAAAAAAAACCTATCAGAAATCACGTGCTTTCCCATAATATAACTTTGTAGGCCAAAATAGCAGGTTTTTTTCTTCTTTCCTTTGTAAGAGAAATAGCATCAACTCTTAGTAAAGCTGGTATTTATCATTCAAGCATAACTAGAAGCCTTCCCTAACCTACCAAAGATAAACTTAAGTGTCCTTTCCTGTACGTACTTCTTTCACTATGGCAAGATCTCCTAAAAGCCCCTCTGCAATACAATTTTTTTAAGGAAATCCTCACCCAGCATTTTATTTACATACTACTATTATTTCGTTAACAAGTACCCATTTATTCAGTGCTGCTCTGTCTCCAGTTCCTCTATCCTGACAACCAAACATTTGCAAAAACAACTGAAAATAGAAAAATAGTGTCTAAATTCCAGTTCCGTCCAAGTTCAGCATAACCAAGTACCAACCCTGCCCAGGCTCCAGAGTGTGAATGGCATTAGGGTGGACACAGCCCCATCCCTGAATGAGCCTGCACTTAGTTCTTTCTTCCCCTTTATGCTGAATGTAGAAGTTTGTAGTCGTCCTTCTGCACAGGAGGAAGGAGTGCCTCTCCTGTGGGCCAGTCGGGCCCTGCCGGCTTTCCCAGGGCCCCTGGCTCCGTGAGTCCACTTTCAGCATCTTGTGCCCTTCTCTGAAATAGAAGTGGGAAACAGAAGCACTCCTTCATCAGAGAGATCTTCTTTTCTTGGAAGCTTCAAATTTGTTGTTCTAGGGACCTTTATAATTTGCAATTTCCTTTGTCTGGAAGGCTCTTCCCCAGATATTCAAATGGCTTGCTTTCTCCTTTTGCTAATGTCCCAACCGGTAACATTTTCTATCCTATTTTCTATCCTATTTTTTCATTTCCATATTGAGCTGGAACTTTGGGATGTTGCTCTGGCTGGTTTAGAGTGTCTGAGCCCAAGTGACCCTCCCACCTCATAGTCCGGACTATGGGCACTGCACACCACACCTGGCTCTCCTATCCTTTTTGTTTTCTTTTCTTTTGATTGGTTTGCTTGTTTTGAGAAGAGTTGTGCTCTGTGCTTCGAACTGGCTTTGAGCTCACAGAGATCCTGCTGCCTCAGCCTTGTGGTGCTAGGTTCACAGGTGTGCACCCCCATGCCTGGCTTCCTATCCTGTTTTATTTCATCACAGCACAGTGCTCCTTATACCTTTATGTTTGCTTATGAAGAGTTTGCCATAGTGGACCTCACATCTCTTGAGATCAAGGACACTGATTATCCTTTCCCTGCTGTATTTCTGACAGCTAGGAAAAGCCCTGAAACATAGTACATCGTATTCGAAGAAATTTGTGTATTTTCAACTGTCTTTTACAATATTGGGAATATAATAAAAGACACGCTCAATACCTATATCCTTACATTTTTATTTAATTGGGAGCCTAAACAAATTTGAAGTGATTCACAGTTAGTGTGGGTTAGGTGTACTGCTGACTGGTGGATGTCTTTCACTGCATGTTTCTATTGGATACAGACAGGAATGATGCAAAGTAGTTATTTGTTAGACCTTCAAGGATCTTCAAATTATTCAATTCCTTGTTTAATTGACAAGAAAACAGATTCTCAGAAGTGAAATTAAATTTCTTAAAATCACATATTTACTGAAAAGTTTAGTATTTAAGCTAGTCTTTAATCTTGTAGCTGCTAGGTACTTTGAAAATAAAATGTTTTAAGTGCTCTTTATTTGAAGAAAATTCTGTTTTGCCACTTTAACCCTGCATATCAGAGCACCATCTACTTGTGTTCAGTAAGTGACCATGCAGAAACTGGCTTTGGGTGGTTAAAGAACTTTTATCGCAGAACTTTTTTCTGTTTGGGTTTGTAATTTTTATTATGAAATACCAAGCATAAAAGTGTAGCATAATGTAAAAGATGATGGGGCCCAGAGCCGGGGATTTAGCTCGGTGGTTCCGCCTCCTGCCTTGCAAGCCCAAGGACCAGAGTTCCATCACAGGTACCAGGAAGAAAAAAAAAACAACAAGATTATGTGAACCCATCACAGAGAATAGACAGATGTTGAACGTTTAAAAAAAAATAAAAGACAGGCCAAAAACCCTGTTCAAGCGTTCCTTGTCCTTTCTCATTGATTATTTATGAGTGGCAAACAATTAGTTGTAATTTCTAATCGTGCTGAGGTTCACAATCACGCAGCCTATCTGTTTTGTGTAAAAGCCATAGGCAAGTGTCAATGAAGTAGTGAGCAAACCAAGGCCGCAGTGGGCTCCACGCCCAGATCTCGACACCCGAGAGCCCTGACCCTCCCAAGGCACCGGCCTTGTCGGCCCGGCCCAGCCGCCCTCAGGGAAGGGGCTCTGTCCGGATCAGCTCTGGGCTCCAGGCGCTTCCTCGGCAGACTGTTGAGAGCAGATGCCACTGTCACCTGAACGGATCTCGTGCGTGTGTGAGGCACGTACAGGGCATGACCGGAGACGGGCCCAGTGCCGAGCCCTGCATCCTGGGCAGGTGCCCACCGGTAATAAAAAGCCCGTGCACTCTTTGTTCCTGAGCAGAGCACAGGGTGCAGTTGGGAGAGGAGTTCACAGGAGGACCAAGACGAAAAGGCAAGGGTTTTGCTTTTGTTTTTCGTAGTCGGGAGTAAGCATGTGAAGCAAATTCTTATCTAGAAAGTGCTCATTATAAACTTCAATGCATTTAAAGTATTGTGAAATGTGCTTTTTAAAAGTAAACTATTGTGAAATCTAATTTATTTTTAAACTTCAGAAAATTTTTTGAAGGGTCAATGAAAAACTGGTTACAAATTCAGTGTTACCAAAATTTGCGTAGATTGCAGGAAATTTTACACTGGTGTGGAGGAGAAATGGTAGCCAGGGTGGAAATATTAACATCTGTTAATGATTCCCAGTGTATAAATAAAAATCGTGAACAGTTTCATAATACTAGTTGCTGAAGTGTGCGGTTGTTTTTGTTTTTCTCTTTTGCAAGACGTGAATGCTTGATTTTTTAGAAAAAATTTAGTTGCCTTCCGCTGCCTCCTCTGAAAACAAGGGCCCCGGAGGGAGAGCGCCCCCTCCCCCGCGGGGCTCTGCGTCTCCAGGGGCCGCGGGTCGGGCCTGC